CCCTCAGTTGTTAGCTGGTAGAAAGGATGTGCATGGGGAGACCACCATGGCCCATTGCTTCTCGGCAGCTTGTGCTGAGAACTAGATGAAGTTGGATGGGGTTGGAACTGGATGAGCTTTAAAGTCCCTTCCAACACAAACCACTTTATGATTCTATGGTTCTATGAAATCAGACCAGATGAAGCAGACCAAGGCAGACCCCACGCCTGCTGCTGTGCCCAGTCGTGCCAGCAAGGCTGTACTGGGACCTAGGACCATGGGACACTGTGACCTCCTGCAGAACAGAAGCAGCCAAGCCAAGGCAGTGCTGGCACTGGGTCTCTCCATCCTTTCTCTGCTCTTCCTGTCCTTTCCCATTATTAGATGTCTGCTCAAAGGGGAGGGCAAAAGGAAACAATTAGGGTTAGCAGCGGCAGCCTAACATGCAGCAATATCCATTAACTGGGAGGCTGCTCTGCTGCCATTAGCTTTGAGCCGCCTTTAGCATTTTCATTAGCTCTTGGATGTTTTTGATGTACTTAATTTATGCCACCGAAACAGTAGATGATGGCAGCTGATGATTAAGATGTGCTTTCACTCTTGTAGAGTGCGCCGAGTACCTTGTAGCTACAGACCATGCATATCAAGAGCTATTGCTTATTATTCAGAGTTGTTACATTAATCATGTGCCTCCTTCGCTCTGGGAAGAGGAATTAGAATATAGCAATATTCTGTCTGCTTGTTTTTAAAATACATCTGTGGGTGGACACTGCAGCTACTGCTCACATCCCTCTCTTCCAAGTGGCAGAACTGCTGTTTGTGATTCTCCTCCCTGGTGTTTTCTCCTGACACTGATTTGGTTGGCCAGAGCCAGGAAGGAAGCTGCCTCCAGCCAGTCGATGAGTGCTGCATGGAAATAATAAATAGTGCTAATTGAGGAATGTTTGAATTTCTGGGCTGCAGAGATGAAACCTTGGAACAGCTTTAAATGAACAGTGCTGTAGCATTTTTCCTCCAGCAGAGAGACAGAAGGCCCACAGCGCCATTATCTTTGTCCATTAAAAGACAATTTGACACCTTCTAGTCTGAATACTCCTGATCAAGTTCTCGGAAATGCACTGCAATGTCATTTCTGAGCATTATTTAAGAGCTCTACAATAGCAGGAAGCAAGGAACTGTTTTTTTAAGAGCAAAATTTGAGCGAGGTTTTAAAGCAAGCTAGAGATGCTGAAACACAGATTTAAGGAAAACCTGAGTTAATGCTCCACTTGGTCCATGTTGCTTGGTGGAGAAACTGAATGACAGGGTTACATTAGTGCTGGAAATACATACCTAGCTGGTCAAAGCTAGGAACTGCCAGTCCTCACTAAGTCCTGAGAGGGTAAGTGCATCTGAAGTGCCTCAGCCCTCACCCAGCTACCAACACGTCTCTCAATTCACTCAGGATGAGCACAGAGAATTTGTAGTCAACTGTGTTCATCTCATGACCTGGGAAGATGCTCTGGAGGCATCAAGAGCAACTCGACAAGTTGTATCAGTGACCCTGTCTCATCACAGCTGAACCTGTGAAGAACATTGCAGAAAACCAGCGAGTTCTGGGACTGAATGAAGGGGAGGAAGAAAGAGACAAACAATATTTAAGTTGCGAACTAGCGAGTTACCATTCTGCATGCTACATATGAACAGGGTGTTGAGGACATCTCCAAGCTGAGGAGTTTACAGGATGCCTAAATAGCTCCATAAAAAACATGTTGTTGCTGCCTCATGGAGAAGCATGCTGTTGGCAAACTGCAGTTAAGGACCAAACCTGTCACGTAACACAAGAGCCAGTTCAACCAGGCTGCAGAGCTGCTTGTTACTGCAGAGGAATGATTTTACCCGAGTGTCTTTCACTGGAGTATCTTCTGATTCAAAACCACCCCACATAGATCTATTCTCTTATAAAGCTGCACTTACTCGAACAAGGCTAAAGTGTTTACTTGCAGCATAGACTCCTCACACTACAAAACACTAATCCTTAAAATCATTCCTTTAATTCAAAGTGCTCCTCCATGAGAAATAAAATTTCAGCATGTGTGCAATAAACTCCTCAAACACCATCTGCAACAGGCACATACTTCACTATTGTTTTAGCCAAAACTTACCCATCACTCCTCAGAAACAATGGATCTTCAGCTATTCCCCAGTGAGTCCAAGGGGTGTATTTCTACAGCTACAGCACCCCTCTGGAATAACAATGTTATTAAAGACTGCTGGTTGTAAGAGCACAGGAGGAATGATGCCAGTGCCTGCTCCAAACTCACCAGACCCAGGTGAGGAGGAGGCAGATGCCAGTACCAGGTTTAGGAAGTGCCATTCATTTCCAAGTGGAATGTGGCCACTGTTTTGTAATGATTAGGAACCATTCCAAAAACACGGCATTCTTCACTCTAGCTACAGCTGTTCTCCACATAGCTCCCTGGGAGGCTGTGAAGATACTGCCCTGTGATTTAGATTTGTGTAGAGCTCTTAAGAGCCAACATCTTGACAGGCACCAGTTCAACTAAACCAAATTTCCCTCCTTATAAGCATGAGAGATCACACACAAAAATCAGACAGCTCGGCTTATATGGAAACAAGTTAGACAATTTATTTCTTACTACAGATGTAATTTATGATACAAGTGATGGAGCACAACTCAAATATAGGTTATTTACACAGCATGAAAGGCAGCCACACCAGGCATTGCTTACTCCCAGGCTGGGACACCCACCATCCTGCACCAGGAGCCCTCCAGCATCCCCAGCCCAACATCCCCATCACGCAGCTGAGCCTGTGGTACCTCCTCTCATAGGCACCACAAGCAGCCTGGGGCACCTGCCCGTGATTCTCTAGGGCACAGGCAGCTCTGAGCCCATTTTCATAAAATCCCAGCCTGGTTTGTGTTGGAAAGGACCTTAAAACTCATCTGGTTCCAACCCCTGCCATGGGCAGGGACCCCTTCCACTAGAGCAGCTTGCTCCAAGCCCCTGTGTCCAACCTGGCCTTGAGCACTGCCAGGGATGGGGCAGCCACAGCTTCTCTGGGCACCCTGTGCCAGCGCCTCAGCACCCTCACAGGGAAGAGCTTCTGCCTAAGAGCTCAGCCCAGTCTCCCCTCTGGCAGGTTAAGTTTTGTCTGTAGTAGTTGTTCCCTGCACTCTGACAAGCCCCAGTCCTCAGTGATCTCCGCATCACACCCAGGGAAAACACCGCAGTGATGACGAGATGTTACAGAACACCTCGTCTGTGTGAATAATTACAGATACAGGCTGCCCTGCCTTTGCACAGGCATCTCTGTGAAGGCAGTGGGAGTTGTAGAGACATTAGCAGGTCTCATGACATTTCAAAAAGGCTTAAATATAAAATGCCTTATAGGGGTTTCAAACACTGGAACTGAAATAGTCTTTGCCATAACAATTGTGAGATGCTAAAAACAACCCGTAGAGAAGCATTGCGTGTGTGGATGTGAAAGAACAAAGAGATCAAGATCCATGCACAAAGTTAGAGAGCAAAAAGCAAGAGCTCTTTTCAAGCAAAGCCCTTATGGATGCTTCTACAGCTGCCCTTCAGCTTGACTCACCCCTGACCACAACAGAAGGGAAGGTTACACATAGCAGTGGCACAGAGGACTGTACCAGTCAGCACCACAGGTCCAGCACAGGAAGCTTGTGGGATATCATCTCCAATGAGATCAGGTGCAAAGTCTTTGTATCAGTGTGGCAAATGGGCACTTTTACTTTGGCAAGCATAACATCTCAGCACCAAACACTCATGCAGAACTTCAGTTTCTGAAACAATGAAAAGGGAGATGTCCTGTGGAATCAAACAGCATGAGAGCTGTACATGGGGCAAACTCCTCTGGCACACACAGAGCCAATTGTGCCCTCATGGTTGGGTAGGAACAGACCGAGGAGACCAAAACCCACTCACAAACAGACATAGGAGTCAACAGTGCACGAGGAGCCAGCATGGATTGTAAGAGTTGTTCAGTATGTGAGATATCAACATGGAGACAAGCTTCATGGCTCTGTGGGTTAGTCTGCAACACATGAGCAAATGATGCCTGAAAAGACCCTTCTCAAGCATCTTACACACAACCCCAGCACTTAGTTATTAATAGCCACTAATGTGTTCAAACTAAGAAAGGGTATGTACTTTTCAGCATCTCCTGCTCCATATTTTGTTTAACAATCAAACAATTCCACTACAAAAGTGCTATAAAAAGAAGCAATTCCTCTTTTCCATGTCTCTTGCATCAAGACTACATTGCTGTGTAAAAATCACATCTACACTGCAGTACTGAAGTCCTTACAACCTTCTGCTCAGAGCAATACACACACAAAGTAGATCTACAGCACAGGTTCAGAGTGAGTACTTGCACTTGAAATCTTTCTCAACCATGCACTGCAGATGAGGCTCATCATGCTTGTCTCTTGTTAAGAACAGCCAAAACAAAGAAAAGTGGGAGGAGGGAGACAAGAGACTAAACCCGTATCTCCAGACCTTTTATTTGTGGGAAGTGACTGCTGAAAGTTTCCATCTGAGAGGAGTTGGCTTTAAACCTGTGGCTTCCAGGTATAGATGTTTCTTCCCAGAGCAGTGTTACCTGACTCTGTATGAAATCTCAACTAAAACCTGGGTAACTTGGATGAAATAAGAGAGGGTGGGGACATATATATCCAAGAGAACTCCAGGAAGACTGCAAAAGTAGCTTCAGCCATGTGCAAAACCAGACTGCCAGTTGAGAAAGGTGAATTGCCACTATAAGCAGCTACTACACTGGCTGCTACTCACAACAACCCAATCACCTTCATGGAGGCAGCTCTTGCCTAAGGATGTGAAGAATCATCCCTGGATTTGGAGCCAGAGCACATGGAAGCCCCTACCTCAGTGAGCAGGGAGGTCAGAGCAAGGGGACAAGAAAGCAAACAGCCTGCCCACATGCAAGTATAGCTGTAATCACTCTTGGAACTGCAGCAGGCTCAGGAATCACACAGCACATGGGAAATGTGAACTTCTTACATGGAAAACTGAGTCTTTGGTAGGCAAGCCAGTCTGTCTGCCAAAAATACAAGCATCTGGAGCCACATCCACATTCATTTGCAGTGCAAATGCTTGGCTTTGATAAAGATGGATTCCTGAAAGCAATTTCTGAAGTATACACATTATAAATATGATTTCTTTTGAGCTAACAGGCTGAAACACTGAAACCTAGCACGTACTCACAGGAACAAAGATGTTTGTTTCTGGCTGACATTCTTCTATACACTTCTTGCATTACAAACTTCCAGTCACATGTAATTGCTAGCACTGAACATTTATTGTTTTTTAAAAAATAAACATGCAGAAAGCCATCCCCTTTAAACCCAACACATAAAATAATCCCGTGGAGATCCGAGAGAAAAGCAATAGCCCTGTAAGGCATCGTTTTGTCTGAAACCTCCAGCAGAAATGCATTTTCTGTGGGAGTCCGTGCTCCAGCTTTGTCCAGCCAAAGTCAGTCACATAACAGAGCACTTGCCTTGCAGTTTATCTTTCTTCTTCTGCTGCTTGGACTTCTTTCCATCCACCTGGAGACTGATAGTTCTCCTCTTCTCCAGATTCAAGAGCTCCTGGAAGAGATCCTGTACGTTGTAGTTCATTTTGGCTGATGTCTCCATAAAGGAGCACTTCCACTTGCTGGCTAATGCTTGCCCCTCACTAGCATCCAGCTCCCTCTGGGTCTCATCACTTTTGTTCCCCACCAGCATTATGGGGATTTTTTGGATGTCCCCTTTAATCTGACAGATCTGTTCAAAGATGGGCTGGAGATCTTCCATGGACTGCCTGCTGGTGACGGAGTACACCAAGATGAAAGCATGCCCTTTGGATATAGAGAGCCTCTGCATGGCAGGGAACTGGTGGCTTCCCGTGGTGTCTGTGATCTGAAGGGTGCAGATGCTCTTGTCACAGCTGATGACCTGCCGGTACGTGTCTTCGATCGTGGGGACATAGATTTCCCTGAAAGTTCCCCTTACAAAGCGAAGGACCAGGGAGCTTTTGCCAACCCCTGCTGCTCCAAACACAACCACCCTGTAATCGTTGCTTTGTTCAGGCATGTTTGCTGCGCTGCCGATACAAGTGAAGGCTTTAACTGGAAAAGCCCGAGTTCTTCGAGTTTACACCCCTTTATACAGAGGTGGCCTTTATAGAGAGGTGGAGATGGGAGAGGGGAAAAGAGAAAGATGTGTACGGGGAGAGAGAGAAAAAGAAATCATTCACACCAGTCTTGTAATTTCACAGAATCCCAGCCTGGTTTAGATTGAAGGGACCTTAAAGCTCATCCAGCCCCAACCCCTGCCACGGGCAGGGACCCCTTCCACTAGAGCAGCTTGCTCCAAGCCCCTGCGTCCAACCTGGCCTTGAGCACTGCCAGGGATGGGGCAATTTTACACTATGTTATTGAATAAGCATTTCAATAAGTCGCTCCCCTCCCACCTTTTCTGCATTAAATGTAAATACCCCCCTGCCACCCCTCCCCAGCCGCACACCCCATGCACACTTAACGTTATGAGCGGTGAAAATGAACTCACCTGTAGCCATGGGCTCCAGCGCTCGGCAAAACGGGACCGGACCCGCCTCCCATCAGCGGGAACCGCGCCGCCCGCGGCCGGGGCCCCGCCGCCCCGGGGATGGGCGGGGATGGGCGGCCCCGAGCCCGCCTCCTCATCGCTTCTTCTCCTCCTCGCTCCCGGAGCGCTGCCGTTCAGGGGGCAGAGCCCCGGGCCGTGCCGGGTTATTCCCGGTACCCTATGGCAGGCATTTAAAGCTTGTTTTGCTCCCGCACTCCACCGGCAGGCCGCGTTCCGCCGCCCAAAGCAGCAGGGTAGACCTGATGTACGCCCTGCCTCAGAGAGGCCACCAAGCCCCTCGCGCTGAGCTCCCCCGCTTTGATTTGCCTCCCTCATGCTGGTAAATAAGGAAGAGTTGTATTTCACATTCACAAGCAGTATTTTTCACAGAATCCCAGCCTGGTTTGTGCTGAAGGCACCTTAAAGCTCCTCCAGTCCCAACCCCTGCCGCGGGCACACACCTTCCACTGGAGCAGCTTGCTCCAAGCCCCGTCCGCTTCTCCGCCCCAAACACCCTCCAACCCGGCCGATCCTCGCACGTTAACCGCTGCCCCCAGCAGGCAGCCATGTCCCCCCTGCTCTCCACCACAGCAAGGCCGCCCGGGCCGCCCTCACCTCCCCGCCCGCCTCAGTCCCCTTCCCTGCCTCCGCCACGGCGGGCGGCAGAGGGCGCCCCGCGCCCGGCTGCCGCCTCACGGCCCCGCGGCGGAACGCGGCCGAGCGCAGCCCCTTTGCCCGAGCCCAAAATGGCCGCCGGCCCCCGTGGGGGAGCTGGAGCCGACCCCCGGGCTGAGGGTGGCCGCCCTCAGACCCCAACCCGCGGCTGCAGAGCCACCGCCCGCACGGAGAGGCACAGCAGAGCGGCCTCCACCCGCGGCCAGCCCGGCTCGGTAGCGGGTTGATGGGCACAGCGGATCGGCCGTGTTAAAGCACCGCTGCGTGCCTTGGCTGGCGGGGCTCAGCTCTCCTCGCCGGCTGCTGGCTGCAGGGAGCCAGAGGTGCAACATCTGGAGCAGAGGCTTAAGGTCCCTTCCAACCCATAGCATTGTGTGATCCTGTCTGTCGAGCGGACAGGCACAATTTGTTGTGGATTCCCTGAGGATAGAGCCAGTCTCGGCAACACCTCCCATCCTTACGCTTAAAACGATCCCTGCGGCTGACTGACCGGGAGGGGGTGCGTTCCCTGGATGAGAATTCCCGTTTTTAATCTGGAATGGTTTGTTTTTTCTCCCTCAGTATGACCCTGGGCTTGGAGCAGAGCTTCCCGGCTGGAAACCCGCAGGGAGACGCAGGGCACTGCGCGGCCATGAGGGAGGTGTCAGCATGGAGCTGCCCTGCCTCAGGGGAGGGGATGGTCCCCAGCCAGGCACTGGGGAAGCTGCAGTCACAGAACCCCAACCTGGTTTGTGTTGGAAGGGAGCTCAAAGCTCCTCCAGCCCCAACCCCTGCCACAGGCAGGGACCCCTTCCACCAGAGCAGCTTGCTCCAAGCCCCTGTGTCCAACCTGGCCTTGAACACTGCCAGGGATGGGGCAGCCACAGCTTCTCTGGGCACCCTGTGCCAGCGCCTCAGCACCCTCACAGGGAAGAGCTTCTGCCTAAGAGCTCAGCTCAGTCTCCCCTCGGGCAGGTTAAAGCCATTCCCCTTGGCCTGTCCCTACATCCCTTGTCCCAAGCCCCTCTCCAGCTTTCCTGCAGCCCCTTCAGGCACTGGAGCTGCTCTCAGGTCTCCCCTTCAGGAGCCTTCTCTTCTCCAGGCTGCCCCAGCCCAGCTCTCTCAGCCTGGCTCCAGAGCAGAGCTGCTCCAGCCCTCGCAGCATCTCCATGGCCTCCTCTGGCCTCGCTCCAACAGCTCCACGTCCCTCTTGTGCTGCTGCCCCAGAGCTGGGTCAGGACTCGTGCATAGCTCCGTGCATTTGGTACTGAAAGTGCTTTGTGCATTTAGGCTCCTGCAGGGACGTATTGGGGGAAACTATGAGTTTTCTCCCTTTTAAATCCAGACAATGCTCATGTCCATCAGGAACAGTTGCCCTTTTTCACCAACCTTTGCTGTGGTTTTTAAGTGCTGGCAACCCACAAGCCACTGTCTGTAACAGGCACCAGGTCCCACATACTCCATCTGCTGCTGTTCGCTCACAAGATTTAATCACCTCTCACCTTCCCTTTGCTGGAAAGCAATTCCTGCCCCTCATGCGGCTGTTGTGATGGTTCTCTCTGCAGGCAGGAGGACTTGCTCGCAGCAAACTGCATAACCTGCACGTCATTCGCTTTGCCTGAATCCTGCAATTCATGGGCATTTCCAGGACTGATTTAAACCCCATCATTTCTGGTGTTTATGAGGCATTTACCAACCATAATGAAATGCTAACTCTCCTATCTCAGCTAGCCACGCGTGCTCAAAGGCAGATAGCCCATATTCAGACATTTTCCGAGCTCTCCATGGTTTTGGGTGGGTTACCATTCCTCATTACTGTCCATCTGAGCTCAATTAGGGATTCAGCCTGGGATCTCACCCATTTTGGCAGGTCTCTCCCATCCCAGTGGCTGTGTTTTGCCCACAGGAGGCAGCTGAGCAAGGCTCAGCTACGTCCTGCCTCTCTGGGCACAGAACCGAGCCTGGAGGCAGCTCTTTGTAAGAGGTATTTGATAAGTAATGCGATATGAAAAGCCAACAGGCTCCTGTTCTGGGAAGGATTCGTGACTCTCCTCCAGTAAGAACAGTAGGAAAGGAGCTGTGAGTCAACTTGGCAGAGGCAAAAGAGTGGGAAGGTCTCCAGCCTCCCTGGAGAAAGGATGGAAAGAAGACCCATGCTGTGCAGCACCGCTGTCCTGCATGGGACAGACTGACCGAGGGGGGATACAGCTTGAAGGTGCTGGCTCAGTGCCCTGCTCTTGGGCAGGGTTTGCTCAGGACGGAGCTGGCAGCAACCAGAGAAATGTGAAATGGAAGCTTTCAACGGAAATGGGCTGTTTGTGAGAGCCCCTTTGTAAAGCAGAGCCCGGAGGGAGCAGGGGTGAGGCACGGGGTGCAGCTTTGCCTGGGGAGCTGCTGCTGCTACCCCCCAAAACTGCCTGAGGAGGAGCTCCTGGACCTGTGCGGTGGTGCAGGACAGCAGAAGGGGTGGGTGAAGATAATCAGGTCCCTTTCCTGGAGTGACTCTGCCAGGGATTGTTTCTGTTATCCCTTGGGACTCGCAGGGATCGGCTTTCCTGCATTACCCAGCCCAGGCAGTGCTCCTCACTGTTTTTCTATCCACATTAAGGGTGGTAAATCCCCCTTGGCCATTGCTTAGCAAGCATGGGGGACACCCCACCAAACTTCATCGGCTTCCTTTGGAGAGGAGGGAGGCTGCAGGGTCTTAACTTCAACCGGGATCCACATGGCTGAAATCATGCAGGTCAGCTTCTGGAGTACAGGGAAAGCCTGGCTTTAGCTGTCCAGTCTTTGGGCATCGCTGAGGCATAGCACAGCACTACCAGCTCCCAAAGGCCCTCGAGAATGTCCCAGTGACGTGGGAGCAGGGCATCCATCCTGCTTTGTCCTCCCTCTGCTCCGTTTCCATTGCTTTCCCTTTGGAGCTCACCAAAGCTTTCCTTCTCTTGATATTCACAACCAGTACAGCCGTCTTCTTAAGATTGCTTTGAATGTCACTGTGGAGAGGTGTGACACAGCAGCTGGAGGCAGAAAAGGGATTTTCCTCTGGAATTACATAAATTAGTATTAAACCAGAGGATGTGTCAGCGGTGCTTATCAGAAAGGGTGGCTCTTCCTGGTAATGCCGAGACTTGGGAGAGCTGTTCCGCCTGTATAATGTCGATTAGGAAATGTTCCACAGTGGCTTATCTGTTTTAGAGGCAGAACGTCCATCTCATGAGCGAGCTCCTCTGTACCTGGAAGGGTGCCCTTCCTCTGGAAACACAGGAGGGATTTGAGCTCCACAAAATGAGGACGGAAAAGCAGAAGAGCACACAAGTATCTCATCCTGGATATAAACTTCCCTTGACTTGAGATAATGAAACAGCCAAAGGATAGGACGTTTTTAAGGATACAGCTATTAACCCTGGGGAGAAGGACCTGGGGGTGCTAAGTGAGGAGCAGCTCCCCATGACCCGGCTTCAGTGTGAGCTTGAGCCCAGAACCCCCCCGTGTGCTGGGCTGCACCCCCAGAGCGTGAGCAGCAGCTCAGGGAGGGGATCCTGCCCCCCTGCAGTCCTGATCCAGCTGGGGGGGGGGGGGGGGTTGGAACTAGATGGTCTTTAAGGTTCTTTCCAACCCAACCCATTCTGTGATGCTATGAGAGGTTCAGGTCGCTGCTGGAACACTCAAACTCGCCCAGTCACAAGCTGTTTCTTCCATTTTGAAGCTGGGTAACAAGGGTCAGATCCATCCCTGCACTGGAATCTCTGCAGCTCCTTGCTCAGCTCTTCAGCCACAAACCAGCTTTGGAGCCAGGACTCCAGTCCCAGGCTTTCAAGAAGACACAAAAAACATTTAAGAGCAAAACCCAACAAACTCTTCCAACCAAAGACGTTTGCTGACCTTTTTTAAGGTCCCCAGCTCACCCACAGAAGTCTATCACAACCCCTTTCCCTTCTGATTTGGCTGCCCATAGCACCACCAGGCAGCCTTCTAGACTCTTGGGTAGTTTCCCCCGCTCCTCACCATGTCCCTGCGCAGTGGCACAGGAGCACGAAGCTCCTGAGACCGGTTGGAGCCCGAGCATCACCTTGGAGGTAACGGGAACTTCAACATCCGCCAATTCCCGGAGGCAAGGGATTTGCTATGAAAGCTTCCGAGAGGCGGGTTGTGGTGGCGGCAGAGGGCAGCAAAGACCTGCCAGGGTCCGGCTGTGCCCCAGCCAGCCGGGAGCCTCCGTGCGCAGCGAGCCGGAGGGGCCGGCTGGAGGCGGCGGTGCTTTTACACTTACTCCCAAGCCATGAACCTGCCCTTTGGAAATCCATGAGGTCCCGAACGCGCGGCTCCGCCGCGGGCCTGCCTCCGAGCAGCGCCGGTGCCTTGCTGAGGCACGGAAGCTGTAGCCAGCAGAGGCTGCAGAGATGGAGCCACGGGCTCTGCCTGAGACACAGCCACCCAGTTCCCTTTCCCCTGCCAAGGCAGACCCTATTGCAATGGGATCTTCAAGCTGTTGATATTAATCTGTTGACATCATATTTTCCATTACTGCTTGAGTGCAAGGTCTGTGAAACCTTTTTCCTCTTTTCTCCTCCTAGATTATAGATAGAAAAAAATCGGGGGAGAGCAGGCTCCAAAGAATACAGCAGCAGATGGAGCACGCCCAAACTGGCACTGCAGAGGGGTAAAAGCAACATGTAAAGTTCACAGCAAAGATGCAACAGTTCCAGGGCTGGCAAACAGGGACAGAAAGTGCAGGGCATGGAGCATGAAGGGAAATAAGAGAGGCTGAGAGAGCTGGGCTGGTTCAGCCTGGACAAGAGAGGGCTCCTTAACGGGAGTACCTTAGAGCAGCTCCAGTGCCTAAAGGGGCTCCAGGAAAGCTGGAGAGGGGCTTTGGACAAGGGCCTGTAGGGCCAGGCCAAGGGGAATGGCTTTAACCTGCCAGAGGGTGATATGCTTTGGGACAAAAACTGTCCAAGCAGCGAAACTGTTTTCCCCAGCAACAAGTTGTGTGACCTGCAGCTTCCAGAAGTGCCAGCCCAAACAGAAGCAAGCCAGGGCAGAGCGGAGCAGCCCCTGGCAGGGACCAGGGCCCACCACAACTGCACAAGGTGTATATTTTATTTAAATTAACAAAACTACACGTTTTGCAGGCTGCTTGAAGCGGTCTGTAAAAACTGAACTCGACCTAACCAAAAAAAAGGAATATGTTTTAATAAGAGCCAGGGACTATTTCTGAGACATACAAGTAGGGCTGAGGAATTAGGAAGTAAAAAACCCACCCAACGCACACACATACACACCCCCCATAAACAGACTGTTAGTGTCTGACACACGATTTGGTTTGAAAGCTGCAGCTCCCTCACTGTGAGGAGCCCTTACAAAACACAGTGCTACCCTAAGCTGTGAAACAAACCGTGGACATATCTATGGGAACAACATAAATATCACGTAAGAACCCAACATAAAAAAGGACGTTAAAGTTGCAAAGTCGAGCACAGGGTGATGTGTGTTGATTCAGTTCACTTTGTACCTCAACTACTGCAAGTAGGAACACTGCTTGTTCCTTGGTGGGGGGTTGGAACGAGGTCTTAAAGGCCTTTCCAACCCAAACCATTCTATGATTCAATTCTTGGACCTCCCAGTGCTTACTTTCTGTGTGTAAATTGCTCACAGGTTACATTTTGCTATCGTGTTGAAGCTGTGGTTGCAGCACTTATTCCTTGTACAGTCGGTGTGCCCCCTCCTTTTATTTCTGTTAAACCACGTTTCCTTTCAGTATAAGGGCACTGTCAGCCCACTTTAAACAGCCCAAGCTTATAAAAACTTATTAGTGTTCCAGTTCAAGTATCCCAAAATCACCCAAAGTTAACTTCCTGAAGTAGTTCTTAGCACTTTTTCTGTGCTACAGTGACTCCACATGCTCAGACACAGCAGCACATGAGGGACCTCACCCAGAGTGATGGGTTCAATGTTCCTCAGCTCTGACCCCACATCCTGGCTGAGGTGCTGCTGAGTCCTCAGAGCAGCTCCAGTGCCTAAAAGGGCTACAAGAAACCTGGAGAGGGGCTTGGGACAAGGGCCTGTAGGGACAGGCCAAGGGGAATGGCTTTAAGCTGCCAGAGGGGAGACTGAGATGAGCTCTTAGGCAGAAGCTCTTCCCTGGGAGGGTGCTGAGGCGCTGACTGGGGTTGGGATTGGATGAGCTTTAAGGTCCCTTCCTACCCAGACCATTCCAGGACTCTATGAATTATGTGAATACCTCACCCCAGCTGAAGTGTTGACTCATCTCCAGAAAAATGGGAAGGGAAAGCAAAAGGCAGGGAAAGCTGGTGCTGTATTTGGTTACTAACATGCTTGACATGGTGGCAGGGATGGTCAGAGCTGAACGGAGCAGCAGCAGTCCCATGCAGACAGTGGGATGGGTGCGCAGGGCAGGCAGGGACCAGCATCACTGAGCACGAGCTGTGGGAACTGGGATGAACCAGCATCTCCCAGTGCAAAGCAGAGCCCTCCCTGCACAGCCTCAGCTCCTGCCCAGAGCTCTCACTCACAAACTCCAATGTGACAGCAGAGCCAGCACGCATGGGCTTTAACTGGACATTGTGATGCACACATTGAGATCCACTAGAGATGGATTAAGGTTTCATAAATCATCTCATTTCTTGTATTTCCCAATTATATTTCCATTTTGCAGCCTTAATACTCTGACAATTGATGTGCAACTTCAGAAATTTTAAGAATCCAAGAACAGTATGTCCCTTCTTCCAGGACTGGTACCTGCAATGACTGTGGCTTTGGAAGCCTCCCTTCTTTCCCTCATCTCTGACCCTTCACCAACAGACAGCAGCGGCAGATGCTTATCTTTTAGGGGCAAAACCAGGAAGGTGAGTTACACATTACTAGCAGTTACATGTTACTAGCAGTTAACACAGCTCTTTACTAGGATCAGTTATTGAGGCCTTCCGGATCCTCCAGGCCCTGGAATGTGTGTCTGGAGTAGCACAGACCCTTCTGGCCACACGACTTCCCTCACACACCATTAACGCTCCTCTTAGCTGGTCCCCAGCACAGCCCAGTTTAAGTCTCCAGCCCAGCTCAGTCCCCACTCCCCTGACCTACTGCAGTGTCACAGCCAGACCTGCCCAGCCACAGCACAGGGGTGAGCGACCTCATTGCCTGATTCTGCTCCGAAAAACCAAATATCCACATCAGTCCAATAATCCCTGGAAGAATCCAGCTCTGCCAAGCATGCTGCATGCCAGCAGTGCAAGGAGGGGCTCAGAGGCACAGGAGCTGAGGACACACTGTCCCTCCGTGGCCTTTGTCTTCTCTCCGTGGCATGGAAGCACATAAGAATGAGTAAGCCATAACAAAAAGAGGAAGACAATAAAAGCAAGGGAAACCAAAAGGGGCTGAGAACAGGCTGTGGGAACAGTCCCTCTGGGAATTCAGGACAGGAGACCTCCCTTCTCCTGCAACTCAGCTCAAGCATCCGGTTTTTACACTGCCCTATATTTAACAAACAGCAGTAAAACCTACTGAGAAAGCAAGCTGCTGCTTCTATTAGAATTGTATGTATTACACACAGGCTGCTCCTTCCCCCAGCTGTGCTTCACTCAAGTGACAGGGGTTTGCTGCAAGACTGTACTAAAGACCTCAAACAAGGTTCAATACCATTATAGATGGTGGAACTGAATGTTCTTACAAGGAAGCGTTAGTTCCCCCCAACCAACACCTTGTTGAAGTTGCACACAAGAAGATGCTCCAAGTACCAAATCCATGCTCCCTGCCTGAGCTCCCAGCACCACCTTTATGACAGGCACACAACAGCCAAACAACAACTGCCCAACATCAGCTCTGCTCCTTCCCCTACATCTGAACAGGCGACTTTGCAACCTTAATGCTTTTCTGTCTGGTTTTTACGTGCTGGAGTGTAACGCAATGGACATATCCCTCCCCCCAGAAATGACTACACCAGGTTAAAAAGAGTTTACAAATGCTCTGCTCGGTGTCACGCTCTGTGAAACACACGAGGCACGGGGTGCTCGAGGAGCAAGGCAGGTCGGAGAGGGCTCCTGCCACAGGCCTTGTGCTGTCCTCTGCTCTCCACCCCAGTCTGGGTCCCGATGAGGCCACCTCAGCATCACTCCTGAGCCTCCTTCCGAGCCAGCTTGTAAACCTCCGTGGGCCCGTCCACGTGGGTGATGGTGGTGGTGAGCTGGAGCTCTTCCCCGCTGTTCACGCCCAGGTCACCTGAGAAACAAAGTGATTTCATTATAGTCCATCTCACAATGAAATACTTGGGAATTAGAAAGCAAAAGATCCATTTTATTCCCACCAGGCTTTCAGGAGCTACTTGAGTTAAGGACTGTGCAATGCTTCTATAAATGCCTTCCTGTTAGAAAGAAGCCATTCCCCCAGGACAAGGGGAATGGCTTTAACCTGCCAGAGGGGAGACTGAGATGAGCTCTTAGGCAGAAGCTCTTCCCTGTGAGGGTGCTGAGGCGCTGGCACAGGGTGCCCAGAGAAGCTGTGGCTGCCCCATCCCTGGCAGTGTTCAAGGCCAGGTTGGACACAGGGGCTTGGAGCAAGCTGCTCTGGTGGAAGGGGTCCCTGCCCGTGGCAGGGGTTGGAGCTGTGTGGGCTTTAAGCTTCCTTCCAACCCAAACCAGGCTGGGATTCTATGATTAACTAAAATGCCTGCTAGGAAAACCAAACTATCATTTGCATCGCATTTTAAAATGCTGAATGTGCACTTTGGCCAAAATGTAGAAAACTCAAAGGTATCACCCACATTATATCACTTTGTTGCCATGACAGCCTTCAGATCTTAAAGGCATTTACCATTGGACTGGTCTTCACCGTAGTTCTTGTGCGATGGTGCGTACAGGAACATGAGGGCGAACACGTAGAGGTTCCACATCCCATAGATGCCGGTGAAGAAGGCGCTGTTCACTTGTATCGTGATGTCCCCCCACTTCCAGTGGCCTTCGGTCACCTGCCAGGGAGAAAGCAGACATGGGCTGGTCAGTAAGGCCAAAGTCTGCACGGAGACAGAAGTGATCCCCTAAAACATCAGCTTCACCCCAAGGTTTGCCACCTGAAGGGTGGTACCTAGGAGACAACCTCCTTACACCTGAAAACATTACACTTCCATAAATAGGGCTTTTATAGAAGGAAAACCAGGCTGAATAATGCAAACAGCTCACGTGCTGAATGCTGCCTTGCTGCTTCTGGCTCACAGAGAGGCCTGGGCTGACAGCACCAGCCTCAGACATGCGGAGGTTTGTCATGGTTTAAGGAAGTGTCATCACTATTAATGTTACTTGAAGATGTACAAACTGTTCACACAGAAATGCTGGCTTTCTGGTAAAAAAAAACAGACATAAGGGGGAAAGACAAAAGCTAAATGAGCTTAAACTAGGTTAGCTTAGTGACAGGCCAAGGGGAATGGCTTTAACCTGCCAGAGGGGAGACTGAGATGAGCTCTTAGGCAGAAGCTCTTCCCTGGGAGGGCGGCGAGGTGCTGGTCCTGTCCCCACAGGCCCTTGTCAAAAGCCTCTCTCCAAAATGACATTTTTGAAACAGATGCAATCTGAAAAGTCACTTAGAATAAACCTTCAGATTCACTTCAGTAGTGATACAAACTCATTTGTACGGAGATGGCCTCGGGGCTCAGAATAAACAGGTCCAGATACTGCTGAGAACAGCGGGGCTGCAGAGTGCCCCCGGGGAAGACTGAACTCTGATATTTCTCTGTGGCCATACAAAGCCACCAGGTCCTTTCAATGTGAACAGAACATTTTTCACTCTTGCTGAGTTCTCAGAAATGACATAAACCCTGTTGGCTGATATTTCAAACAGCACAGCCCAACCCTTCCCGTGAGCCAGGGGCCTTTGTGAAAGCTTCAGGCTGAGCCATTTTATGGCAGTGCTTCAAGTAAGTGAAAACAGCTTCTTAAACAGCAAGTTGTTATCAAACCTGCTGGTAACAGGCAGATCTTCTCTGATCAGCAAGTGAGTTGTTAGTGGCTGTGGAACTGGGGGCTGAGGTACTTAGAGGAAGCAGTTTTATCACTCACCTGGCTCACGATGAAGAAGATGACCGTCATTGCCGCGCACGCCAGGGTGATGAGCATCAGGAACTTGAACCTAAAAATCAGCCCCTGCGTGGAGAGAAATGTCACTGGTCACATTAACAGACTCCACAACACCCAGTTTGGGTTTCAGCACATACAAGAGACAAGCATTAAAATACAGGCAAAGAAAAAAAAGGGTCCAACCCACGAAACCCCAAAGCAAAACAACCTCCACCCACTCCTCTGCGCCGGGGTCATATTCTCCGCTCCCCACACGTCTGCATTCCTGCCGGATGCTCCCGGGCGTGCGTGTCTGGACAGCTCTGCCTTTCCATTACATTTGCCTTTGTGACTGATTTACCAGGAGCTCACGTGGATGGGGAGGCACGTCAGCCCACGCCATGGGTTTTCCCTAGGAGGTAGCTCACAGCTTCGGTAGGACAGACATCTGTGGAGAGCCTGCCTGGCTCAGCAGGACGAGTCAGTGTTTCACCTCCACATCTGCCTGGGAGGGAACTGCAGCAATTCCCAACACCCTTCAAAACTACACTGGCTATTAGAGAGGAACATGGACTGCAGGATAAACTAAGACTCAAGATCACTCGCTTGGGAATGTGACTGCAGATTGCTCTTGCTCCCACTAGCTTTACGTTTTTATTCACAAGCTCTTTTTGCTTTGTCTTTGCACGTGAGTTGTTTTTCTTAACCTGTTTCTGGAATTCTGCTGGAAATGTCAGTGTCTGCGTAATTACTGAGCCACACTGCAACAACAAATGGCTATTAATTTAACTCTTCCAGATCAGATTCACACTGTCTGTACACAGAGCGCAGCCCCAGCAGCTCCACAATACGAGCTGAAGTCCTGTGCTAAAGGGAAAGATGCTTAATTTCTGCTTGAAATTCTCTCAATTCCAATTTCCTATTTTTTATGTGCATTCCTGATGGGTGATGACAGACTTGTTTGTATCAGAAGTGACCATTAGTAGTTAAGAGAACAACGTTGGTGTGTTGATATTTATCACCCACGGAAACAACAAGTACTCTCAGCTTAAGCATTACAGTGTGCTCCTTGTGTTTTGCAGCAGTTAAAGACAGCTAGGACAGAAACAGGGATAGTAAGATGAATGTGTCACATTGATCCTGTCAGCACAGTTTCCCTCCTACAATTTGGCTGGGAAAAGACAACCCCAAAAATACTAATTGACATCCTAGAAAACAGGGGGGTCTCAGCAATACTTTCCATTAAATATAGTCCTTAATATTACAGGAGAAATGAAGTGTGAGGGCCTGGTGTGCTTACAACCTATAGTGATTTCAATGGTAATTTGGGCAATTTACTTCTGTTCTCCAGCACTGTTCAGTATGCTGGGAGGTGGCAAGTACTGACAGAAAAGGAGAGGGAGCTTACATACCCTCCTAACAGGTTAAAGTATTCCACTGGGAATAAAGACCCAAATAAAGAAGAAACTTCCCACCAGTCAAACCAAAAGGCATTTAGGGGATTTGAGCAGAAGAAAGCTTATGAAGATCAGATCTCCCAGTTCAGGGCTGCATGGATAGGGAATGTCTCAGTATAGACTTTAAGGTCAGAAATGCATTTATAAAGTAAAGAATCTGTGCAGTGAGGAGGGCTGTTACCTCGTAATGAAGGCGGCGAGCCTTGCTCATGGCTGGGAGGCTTGACTGCTTCCCACTGATGTTCCTGAACACTTGGAAGACCATAAAACACAGGAAGAGGAAATAGAGACACAGGCAGATTCCCGCAACTATAATAAAGGCCATCTGGGCAGTGTGAGTCAAGGGAACATGGTATGAGCTGAACAAGGAGAACAGAAACATTATTCAAGTGATTCCCTTCTTTTAGTGTCATCCCAAAGGTCAAAATTGCACTTTTACTTGATGAGCTTGGTGGGGAGCAGGGGCTCTGTGACCCCACACACACCAAACACTGCCTGGGTGACATTGCCAAGGAGATTTGGGGAGCTGTTGCCAGCCAACAAGCTCCAGTGAGGCTCCTGCAAGAGGGATGGGTGTTGTGGAAGGGGAACTGATCCCATTAGCTTATCTCAGCCCAGGGATCAAAATTAATGGCAGCATAACAAGCCCTTTCAGTAGGATCTGGAAGAGCAATGCATGGAAATGCCTCAGCAACGCCTGCCTGAGTAATAGCAGCAAATGGAGGTCCCCAAAGCGGATGCTGTTGAGGCTGGGGGGTAAAGGATCATGGGTGCTGGTGTTATTGTGATGACCCCCAGGACCTGAATTCCCCACGCTTCCCTGCAAATCTCAGACATCTTGGAGAGGTTCAGTTCTGCAGTGACTCCCCCAAGCACAGCACCAGTCCCTGGGGTACCAGCTCCAAACCTGCCAGGGCGGCTTCTTCCAAATGACACCAGCATCTCCACCCCCCCCTCACAGCCCTGGGATGCCAGAAGGAGGAGGGTTTCCCCACACTCTCTCTCTCCCATCAACCCTGCCATGAGCTGGGGTGAAGGATACAGCCAGCTCTGTGCCAACTTCAGTGGTCCAGATGCTGTAGAAGGGGTTCTTCAGCTGCACTCCCCTGCAAAGAGGAGAGACATCACTGAGGCTGTCACAGAAGCCAACAAGCTTAACCTGCTGGTCCCTGCTGCAGGAGGTGGCCAGAAGTCTCAGCTCACAGTGTGCACCTACCTCTCACACATGTCAAAGATGAAGAGGCAGAAGGAGCCAACAGCTATGGGTCCAACCTGCTTCCAGTACCCCGAGAGACGATTCCTCTCGTTCTGGTCCTGATCAGAGGGTCAAGAAGTGGAGAGGAGGAAGAGAAAAAGGAGAAGCAAGTCAGGCTGAAGTCCTCTTGCCTGGTGCAAGCCCCACAATGTTGTTTGCAATGATTAACAAGCACAGGGGAGTTGCAGGGTATCGCTGCAACTGGGGCTGGAAGCCACCTTCCCTTCTGTGTGGTACCCACCATCATGTGCTCCCCACAGAAGATGATCCAGAAAGACAGGAGCATGGCATAGAAAATGCCTTGTCGAATGTCTCCGAAGAGCAGCATCCAAGTCCAGTCAAATCCGATGGAAAACCACTCCACGGGGATGTTAATGAATGTCATGGAAATTCCTAGAGCAAAGATGACCCTGGAAGGGCAGAAACGCAATCTCTTTCCAGCTTGCTTGTTCCTCAACTTGAGAAGAGAGCCCCAGCAGCCAAAGCTGTGCATGAGGAGCAACACAAGAACACCCAGCACTGCGGGGCAGTGTCAGCTCCTGCCAGCAAACCCTGGGGGGCTGAGCCCCTGTGAGCAGCTGTGGACAAACGCAGCTCCTCATTCCCTGTGGGTTTAATGGGCAAGAAGTTAAGCTATCGAGGTCTCCTGCTCCCAGTGAGCCTGGGTGGAGGGAGGGGACAGGGAAGAGACCATTCCTGTCTCTCCACACATAGATTGTGGGAGCAACAACCACCTTGGTCAGCGTGCTCTCACTTGAGGGTCACCATATCCAACACACAAGCCCCTACTCACTTCTCCAGCAGCACAGGAGCACGTGTCATCAGTGTGATCCGTCTCCAGTACCAGACCATGATGATTAAAATGCTGGGTGTGAGGAAGGTCTTCATGGCAAACCACACTTTTGTAAAGCCTCCGTTCTGATGGATGCCCTAAGGAAAAAAAACAGGGTGGAATGCAACAGCTGTAAAGGGTTTAGCAACATTACTCCATGCTTCTCCTTAGGGGATCTGACAGGAGAGGCATGTAGGCAGTAGTACATGTAAGCACATGTAGATCACAGAATCCCAGACTGGTTTGTGTTGTAAGAGACCTTAAAGCTCCTCCAGCTCCAACCCCTGCCATGGGCCCGGACACCTTCCCCTAGAGCAGCTTGCTCCAAGCCCCTGTGTCCAACCTGGCCTTGAACACTGCCAGGGATGGGGCAGCCACAGCTTCTCTGGGCACCCTGTGCCAGCGCCTCAGCACCCTCACAGGGAAGAGCTTCTGCCTAAGAGCTCATCTCAGTCTCCCCTCTGGCAGGTTAAACCCCTTTGTCCTATCACTCCAGTCCCTGATGAAGAGTCCCTCTCCAGCATTCTTGTAGCCCCCTTCAGATACTGGAAGGCTCCTGTGAGGTCTCCATGCAGCTTCTCTTCCCTAGGCTGAACAGCCCTGACTTTCTCAGCCTGTCAAGATGCAGCTACTCTTTGAAGGACATGGTTTATCCAACACAGGAAAGGGAGCAGGTTCCTATTTAGCACCCAAGGTGCCTGAGCAGGCTTCAGAAGTCCTGAAAACTAATACCAAGACACAGCTTCCACCTCGAGGTGCAGAGCACTCAGGAGAGGGACACTGACACAGCATGGAGAGAGCTGGCAGAACTGCTCTCAGACAAGTAACAAGATACTCATGAAGCCAAGTCACCGCCGGTGGGAAGAGCATCAGCCAAATGAATGCGTCTCTCCGGACACACATCCCTCCCACCTCTGTCTGCAGTCACCACAGCTCACTGCTCCTGCTGAGAGGGATGGTGGTGGGAGGAAAAGCACCAGCCATAAGGGAGGGCAGGAGCAGGGACAGCTGACAGCCAACCCAAACATCTGCATGGTCATAGCCAACGCCAAGAGAGACCAGGTCCCCTCTGAACCCTGCTGGCCTGTTCCTCCTGAGCTCCAACCCGTAAGAGGCAGGGCTTAATCAGATGGAGGACTCATCACTCAAGCCAGACTGTGCTGGCGAGGAGAGGACACAGGGGAGCTGCTGGAGCCATGGAGGTGATCCCAGGGCAGTGCAGGAGGGTGGCCCTGCTCCAGGCTTGGGGAAGGCTCCTCAGAAGAAAGCAGTCAATGAGGGCACCCCTTGGAAAGGAGGGAGACCACATCTGCAGGCAGGAGCTGCCCATGCTGAAGAGCAGGACCTCGCTGCGGATCAGAGGAGCCCCCAGGCAGACAGCACGGGCAGAGGCAGGTCAGGCACTTACCACGAGGCGGATGTCCTTGATCTCCCCGATGCCCACGTTAATGCCCTTCCTCTCGTTCACGGGCAGGCGGATGTTGAGCAGGTAGTACTTGTGAGCCACGCTGCCGATCTCCATGAAGGGCAGGAAGTCACAGTCATAGTGACGGCCCTCCGACTCCAGGGTCTAGAGAAAGGGCACAGAATGCTGTGGTCAGCCTTGGATGGGCTCCCTCCATGGGGAGGGTGTGCAAAACCCTAACACTGGGACCACTGCTAGCACTGAGAGCCTGTTTGCCAGTTCCAGCCTTCCTGGGGAGAGCCTGTGACAGACAGTGCCTTGGGGACATTCTTCAAAGGTTTTGCTGGTTTGGGTCAGAGTCAACAGCAGGTTCACCTTTCAGGCTCTTGAATAGTCCCCAGAGTCAAAGGAGCCTCTCAAGATGAAAGACTACATTAGGATCCAAGCCTCCTCCCTCAGCAAGCACCACTTAAGCCCAAACAAAAGATGCAGCTCCCTCACACGTATCTTGATGTGCAGTTTAAGTCCTGTTCTACTAGCAATGCTCCTCTCTGTACCTCAGATGTGTTCACTGCATAGATGTGGCTGTATGGGAGGGCACAGGTGTCACTGGAGATGTAAGTGGTTGCTGAAAGGGACTGTGAAATGGGAGAAGACACAGAGCTGAAAACCATGGCCTGGGGAAGAGACGCCAGATTAATTTAAGCACCGGAATTACAGTCTGCAGCACAGGAAGAAACATCTGGATTTAAACAAGATGCTGTTCTCATCCGGCTGTGCTTGCTGCCCCTCAGCCTTCGAGCTTGGGGCACTGAGAAGTTGTTCTAACAAACTTCTCCGGGTTCTTGGAACGCTGCTGTGTCCCTGGGGGCTATATCCCCACCACTCCTGTAATAAGGTCGTGTTTATCACAAGCACAAGATGGAAAGGTCCAAGTTCTCTAAGATGGTTTGCGGTACACAGAGCTCAAAGCATTTTTGTTCCAGACAACACCTCTGCAACACCTCACACCTCTTCTCCCTTACAGTTGTAAGTCTACCCCAACTTCACCCCCTTCTCTTGTATCACCAAACAGGACCGGTTGTGCATGGAGCTCGTCAGGTTTTCACAGGTTTTGAGCTGACACATTTTGAAGTTATGATTGAACAATTCCATGCTTCTAGGAAGCACCAGGGAGGAAAGGAAATCAATTCCCAACACAATCCACACCCCCCACCTCCAGCATCATCAAAGCCCCTTACTTTTGGCGAGCCAAAGGTGCATTTCAGCTTCCTGATCTCTATTGCATGTGCTATTTCCTTCCAGTCATCAAACATGTCATCACGATACGCCAGCGACACATCCAGGGTGATCTCTGCATTCTCTTCTGCAAGAGTAAGGAGACATCAGGCTTGTGAGAGAGGAATGGTACAGAGGATCAGATGGGTACCAGAGCCTGTAGACACACAGAGGACCTTACAGAGACCCACAGCTATGGAGGGGGGTGGAAGATTTTGCATTCCAAACAACACAGATGGAATCACCCTTTTCAAAATGTTTATCGCCTTTCCAGCAGAGAAGGAGGAATCTTTACTGGTCATAAAGGTCTGACACCCTCCTAATGTACCATGACTTACAGCTTATGTTATGGCTGTGGGTGAAGAGCATTATTTATTCATACAGCATTAGAAATATATGTAGAACTGGAGCCCAGACAGCTGCAGAGACAGAGTAAGCCAAAACCAATCCAACAGCCTCTTCACCAGGGGCTGGCTGAGGGATAATAAGACAGGCTTCTATCTAGACCTTCTGCAGGTAACACAAGGTCCTTCTGCTTCAGGAAGCGACTATATCACATCATAGGATTTGCTTTAAATCAACACTGAAATAGTGTTTATAGAAAACCAGAAAAAGATGAAGTACATAACTCTGGCTGGCTAGATGAGCTCTAGAAAGGGGAAAGCATGCAACTATCATAGAATGGTTGGGGCTGAAGGGACCTTAAAGCTCCTCCAGCTCCAAGCCCTGCCATGGACAGGGACACCTTCCACTGGAGCAGCTTGCTCCAAGCCCCTGTGTCCAACCTGCCCTTGAACACTGCCAGGGATGGGCACCACTTCCAGGGATGGAGCACTTCTGTTGTCATGCCTAAATGAACAAAGCCATCTATTAATGTAACCTTGTGTTTCTTCTGGCTGCAAGCACATCATCCATAAACACTGGAGCCCAACCTCTTGAAGGTCTAGAACACGGCCCTTAACAACAAGATGCATTCTACCAAAGAGATGTTAAATGAAGGAAACAAAAAGGGTCACTGGGATCTTTGGGTGGATGGAAGGAAGGAAGCAGGGAAAGGCCCTGCTGGGCAGGGTCATAACTCATCACCAGAAGTATAAATTGCTTCAGAATTGTCCAGAACTTGGATCCTCTGCTCTTCAGAGATAAGCCAGGGTTCCCAGAGTAAGAGCACACGACTCAAACCTCCTTTAAGAAGAAATTTAACCCCCCCTCAACTGTAGCCGTGCTGGCCCTGCTGGAAAACCCCTCAGGAACAGCCACACATGCTGGAGGTGACCGTTTCTGCATGGGGTGTTCAGCTCAAGCCATTCTCCATTAGACTTCTGAAACCCTCCCCTCCACATCCACACCAGCACCGATCTGTTCCTGCCTTTACGGATGCACCAACGGGCACATGAGTAAACACACACTGAACTCATGGGGAAGGTCACCACGTCAAGTTTGCATGGGACCAGGCAGCTCAGCCTCTCCTGGACGTGTCACAGGGAGCACAACTGCTTTTAGATACGCTCTTGCTAGGAGGCTGCCAAGAGGCTGCTGCTGCAAGAAGGAAATGAGGCTGGAACAGGCTTATTTAGGTGCCATAACTGAGCAAGTTCATGAATTACAGTTGAAGGCTGCCAAGGAGCAACACATAAACATGCTTTAAAAACCCAAGGCAAGTCTGTACCAGCTCTACCAGATGTAAAACCCTCCTATTGACCAGGCACAGATCCCAGGGAAGGCTCTGAAAGAGAAACATGTTCTGAAACGAGCATACGTGTGCTGCAACCTAGCCTCTTTTCATAGACCAGCACACTCTGAAAGCCACAGCTGTTGGGAAAGCTGTGGAAGAGCACTGCAAGATGGCTATGGAACCATCATCCATGGAGAAGCGTTGGAAAATGGCAAGGGAACCACTTGTGCCCCTGATCCAGCGCTGCTCTCACTGCAGACTGCTCACCCTTGCACGCTCGTGGCACACTTTGAGCTCAGGAGGTCAGAAATGCCTCCGTGGATCTAATCTGAGCCACACACACATTCCACCAGGGCTGTGGCACTGCACAGCCAGACACCAACATGTGCCATCCCGTAAGGATCTGAAAGGCTTACACAATATCGACACCCATAGCTCTGCACCAGGGGCCCTCTGCATGGGAACAGGGCTGGCTGCTCTCCTGGCAGCACATGGGAAGGGCTGCAAAGACACATCAAGCCTTGATGAGCTTTGAAGTTCAGCTCTGAAAGCAATCTGGTCTTCATAAGTCTGAAGGGAGGCTGTGTCATGTCTAGGAGCAAGCAGGAGTCTTTCAAGCCTGGGGGTCCCACATATTTGTCATCTTCTTCAGCTACGTTTTTGCTGGGACAATGTGGCATACTCACCCCAACCGATGGGAAGGGGTGTGGGTGGTATCCGGGGTCCAGACTTGCTATTTATAGTGTTTGAAGGTGGCTCCATTATATATCTGATGCGGATGCATCAAGGTTTTTCTGAGCATTTAGTTTCTTTCCACACATGATCAATAGCATCCAGACTGGTGTCAGGTTCCTTTCTGCAGCAGCCATTATTCAGGTTGCCATGAAACATGAATTTGCTCAGATCTACTATTTAGAAGACCAGCAAAACAGATAAATGGGAACATAGAGTTAAACTTGGCCCAGCTACAAAGAACTACAAACTTCATTTCAGAAGCCATAAAACCAAGTGGAATGCTTGGGATTGAATCCAACAAAAACAGCTTTTGTTATTTCTTCTTTGCAATCCAAATGTTGCTGTTGCCATCGAGTATGAAAAGCAGAAGGCAGAAGATGTGCTGGTGTGGGCCTTTACAGGCGGGTGGAATAGAACCTCCCTCTACATTTCCATCAGTCTCTGTGTTTGGGTAATGTCCCCCATAGAAAGAGGAATGTGCAAAGACCCTTTGAGACTGTCACTGTAAAATACATATAAATATGTGTGTATATATATATACACACATAAACATATACACAGGGAGAAGGGAGAGAAGCAGCAGGTGATGTTCCACCATGCTTGGTTTCAAGACACAAGAAAGCTGTTGGAAACCAGTGTTATTTACTACCAAAACAGTGGAGCAAGAGGCAAGGACTCACAGCGAAGCCAGTCTTTACTTCTGGAAGTACTGAAAGATCAGAGTGTTTTAACCATTTGAGGCTGAGCCACAGCAGAAGGGGTAAAATACATGTAATAAAGAGAAAGCACCACTGCAAACCTGTGCTAAGCTCCTCAGAGGCCAACCTCTTTGAGGAAAGCAGTTATTCAGTTCCTCCACACATGAGGATCAAGGCAGAAATCTCTGCCCTATTCAGTACCAAGAGATGAAAAGCCCCATGCCAGGAAGCTTCATCCCTCAAGGACCATGTCAGAGCACCTCCTCGTGGCACCCTCCAGATTAACTTTGCCTACATAGATCTTGGGGATGACATCTAGATTATTTGGAGCCTGGAGAATCACTTTCGCTATGAGCAGCTCCAGTGCTGAGTGACAACCTCACCGGTGTCACTGGATAAGATTGAAAACCCTACAGAACACAGACAGGTTTGTTTAGGTGATTATGCATTCCAGGTATGAATGATGAGAAGACACACTCCTGTGGGGTTCCAGCTTTGAGCTTTCTTGCCGAGTCTCCAGTTGAAAGGCTACACATGGAACCATAGAAACATCAAATGGTTTTTGTTGGAAAGGAGCTTAAAGCTCCTCCAGCTCCAACCCCTGCCACGGGCAGGGACCCCTTCCACTAGAGCAGCTTGCTCCAAGCCCCTGTGTCCAACCTGGCCTTGAACACTGCCAGGGATGGGGCAGCCACAGCTTCTCTGGGCACCCTGTGCCAGCGCCTCAGCACCCTCACAGGGAAGAGCTTCTGCCTAAGAGCTCATCTCAGTCTCCCCTCTGGCAGCTTAAAGCCATTCCCCTTGGCCTGTCCCTACATCCCTTGGCCCAAGCCCCTCTCCAGCTTTCCTGCAGCCCCTTCAGGCACTGGAGCTGCTCTCAGGTCTCCCCTTCAGGAGCCTTCTCTTCTCCAGGCTGCCCCAGCCCAGCTCTCTCAGCCTGGCTCCAGAGCAGAGCTGCTCCAGCCCTCGCAGCATCTCCATGGCCTCCTCTGGCCTCGCTCCAACAGCTCCACGTCCCTCTTGTGCTGCTGCCCCAGAGCTGGATCAGGGCTGCAGGTGGGGTCTCACCTCTAGAGATGCTCTGGAGCAGGTCAGAGCCATGCCCCTGCAGTGAGGGACTCCCCAGTACCTGCCACTCTCTGAGCACCAGTGTATTTTTTCACATTGGCATTTTACTGCCAGACATTCGGTGCCCAGGATCTTTTCCATGATTCACTTTGCTCTGTGACATTCACACAGGATGGCTTTACTCACTGTACAATGGGCTAAAAATAGAGAAGTTGTTTCAGAAGGTGGCTCTGTGCCATCTGCATACTAATACAGCTGTCTGGAAAGGAACATATGCAAGGGAACAGAGGAAGCACTAGAATTATTTGCATTGCATTCCCATGCTTCACCAGCTCTCTAAAATTACAAAACCCTCCAAGGAGACCAAAATGGGCTGAACTTGAACAGGAGTCGGCAGGGCTCAGCCAGCCCCACTGTACACAAGGGCTTTCCAGCTGCAAAGAAACCAGGAGACGTCTCACTACATTTTAAGCTCACTGGATGGAAAGAGAGATGAAAACGTTGGTTTTTTTTTTTTTACAGTGAAAGTCTGTAAAGGCCCCTCCGTGCTTTCTGCCATCTGATGCATAAAGGTGTCATTAGCTGATGCCCAGCGCTTTGTCCTCAGGGATGATGCATTCCTGGATGTCAAATGGTCAGCAGTTTCAGGTTTACTTTCCCACAAAGTTAAACTGAGGCAGGATGAGCCCACCTCTAGGGGCTCCTCAAGCCTCTGGCAGCCAGGGAGCCAACAGCCCCCAGGTCCCTGCTCCAGCTAAGGCTGTTAAACAGAACTGTGGCTGCCCCATCCCTGGCGTGTCCAAGGCCAGGCTGGACACAGGGGCTTGGAGCAAGCTGCTCTAGTGGAAGGGGTCCCTGCCCATAGCTTTAAGCTCCCTTCAACCCAAACCAGTCTGGGACTCTATAAACACAAGGGAAGTAGCTCAGCTTCTTAACATCTGCATTTTTAAAACATCAGCATTTCAAAATCATTCCTGAACATCTGCGTTAAGGAACTCCAGAGCAAGTTTCCAAGATGAACGTGATAAAGGCTGGTTTCTCCTCCTGCAAGTGCCAATCCCACAGGATGTTGCAGGATGCCTGGCCCCTGCAAGCCTCAAATTGACTTTAACATCTTTGGACCATGCTGCAGGGCTCTGGGAGCCAGCGGAGACCAGGATGTGTCCCCAGGGAGCAGGCAGCAGCTCCAGGCGGGTAAGAGCATCTGCAGTTAGCAGGCAGCAATGCTTTCCTAGATGATCTGAACAGCTTCAAGACGGTCATTACGAGGGTGACTGGCAGAGGCTTTAACACTGCAACGCCTTCCAGGAGCCATCCCTGGTTTGGCACCAGCCCCTGCTGGCACTGACTCCAGTAGGATGACTGCTGGCTTTGAGGTCACTCGAAGCTTAAGGGAGAAGAGGCTGGAATTGTCAGTTTAAGAGAAGAAGTGAGGTTATTTCACACGGTTGGTGTTTCACATCTTCAGTGTTGCCTCTCGAGGAGCTAATTCCAATTACCCCATCGACGAAGCTCTTGCACTGATGCAAAGTTAGCAGCGAGATACAGAGACACAAATGCAATTGTTTGGGCTTAACAAGATTTAGTTTAATAGCTTATAACCTCTCAGAGCATAATCTAGCAACCAACAACCACGTTACTCACTAGTTGCTTAGATTTTACACTTCATTTACATTTGGTTCAGCTTGGCACAAAGTGTAGGAAAACAACACTTGCAAGTACTTCCTTCACTCCAGGAGGGAAAACCTTCAAGATGTGTCAAGCAAGCTCACACCATAAGAAGTATTAAAGTCCCTTGTCTGCAAATGCTGCTTAGAAAACCCACCAGCAGCTACTGAACTGATAATGACCAGAAACGGAGCTCTTCCCCGCTGCAAAGTGGCAGAGCTGAGCCCAAAACCTGCCTTTAGCACCCAGAGGGTGGCCCAAGAGAAGCTCTTCTGCTTTTAAAGCTCAAAACCAGTTCCCACCTTTGAAGTCATGCAACACAAATACTGACCTGGAAAGGTTCCCTGCACTGAGGAGAAACACTGTCCTAGAATCAGTCACAGCCTGGCTTGTGTCAGAAGGGACCTTAAAGCTCCTCCAGCTCCAACCCCTGCCACGGGCAGGGACCCCTTCCACTAGAGCAGCTTGCTCCAAGCCCCTGTGCCCAACCTGGTCTTGAATTGTCAAGAGCTTGTTTAGCATCTTAGCAACCTGCTCCCAGGTGCTCAGCCAGGTACTGGCTCCAGCTCAGTGGTTTGACCTTAAACAGCCTCAGAACAAAGAGCTGTTTCCCTAAGCACAGCCATCTACTGAAGTCTAAGAAGCTGAAGCCTTAATAACCTTACAAAGCTACTCTTACCTCTCTATCTCTAAAATGCAGAGAGAACATGTATATAAGCTTTATACAATCTCATATTTAACTCATCTTAATGATGATACATTCTGGTGTCCTCAACACCAGGAACTGTTGGACACAGGACATGGAACTGTTGAAACAAGTCCAGAGGAGGCCACGAGGATGCTCAGGGACTGGAGCACCTCCTGTATGAAGACAGGCTGAGGAAGTTGGGGCTGTTGAGCCTGGAGAAGAGAAGGCTGCGTGGAAACCTCAGAGCAGCTTCCAGTATCTGAAGGGGGGCTATAGGGATGCTGGGGAGGGACTCTTCATTAGGGACTGTAGTGACAGGACAAGGGGTAACGGGTTCAAACTGAAACAGGGGAAATTTAGATTGGATCTAAGGAAGAAGTTCTTTACTGTGAGGGTGGTGAGGCACTGGAATGGGTTGCCCAGGGAGGTTGTGAATGCTTCACCCCTGGCAGTGTTCAAGGCCAGGTTGGACAGAGCCTCGGGTGACCTGGTTTAGTGTGAGGTGTCCCTGGCCATGGCAGGGGGGTTGGAACTGGATGATCTTGAGGTCCTTTCCAACCCAAACTATTCTGTGATTCTGTGATTTAACAGCCAGGAAGGAACAGGTCAATGCTGAGCACGCAAGGCAGTAAAGGAGATGTGTTGAAGCTTTCATGACAGCTTTACATCTACAGTGACATGGCTGTGAGCTGTCAGCTTCCCTGTACCAGAGCATGTTTGCTAGTCCACATCCCAGCCAAGCAGCCAGCTTCTAGACCAGAGCTGGTCCACCATATGGTTACATGAACACTAGAGCCAGACCAACAGACAAGCTGTGGCCAAAGAGCTACAGAAGCCCCAGTTCAATCAGTTGGAAAGTGAATTGTTTATTCATTGTTAGGTTATAGCTGTTAGACAGAAGGATTTCTCCCAAAACCACTTTAAAACACACATACCCATCCCTTCTTTCAGGAAGGGGCAGATCAGTCTTGCCTTTGCTGCTCCCAGCATCATTTTGCAGGGTTACTTCTGAGTTTGGGTTTTTTGGGGGAATTTGGGGTTTTGGTTTGTTTTTTAGGATATCTCTTCCAGGTACTAAGGGTGAATCCTAGTAAAACTGCTTCATCCACACTTCCTCTACCTATAGCTTTCCAGTTATACTGGACCCCTGCAGTTTCAAGGCCAGAAGGATGGGAAATCCATCAAATCAAACTTTCCATCAAATCCTAGCAAGAAAATGTGTCTAACAAGGACTGATGGAAGGTTGGGGCAACTACTTCAGTTCACACCAACCAACCTCAAACCAACGAGGTTAAAGCCATCATGATGACAAAGGCTCGGTAAATGAACACCGACTCTTCTGCAACCGGTGCCTGCTGGAGAACCTGTGCTTTAAGACTCAGACATGAACATTCCCTCTTATGGACCCCTCATATAAACTTACAGATCAATAATCTCATTTACCAAGTACTGTGGCTTGCAGTGTCAAAGCTGACCACAAAGTGCTTGGCAAGCACAGAGCAGAACTGCATAGCTTAAAGTCTCCAGCACTGAGAAGCCAGTAACTAGTTGCAGTGTGTGTGTAAATACATACATAAATACGTATTTATATATATAAAAATATAAAGGATTTTTGAGGCAGTAACTTTCATAAAAATGAAAAGCCTCATGATCCCCTTTTCACCACCTCCACACAAGGCAAGACATCCAAACCAGAGCACAGCAAGGTGATGCTGCTGCTCCAGAAGGAATATCCCCACCCCTCACCTGCTCCAGCAGATCTTCATCTCTGGCACTGCCTTGCATGGCCATAACCAACCCAACCTTCTAACTGGTTAGAGAGCTCATCCAGCCAAACCTGAGCTTCTGCTGAGGAGGCTGCAGCATGCAGTTCATGGACAGGGACAGCAGAGCCAGCAACAGGCACAGGCTGGGAACGTGGAGAAGCAGGAGGAAAGAAGCACCTGGAAGAGCTGGGCTGTGTTATCAACTGCAAGCTGCTGCTGTGCACTCAGCATCTTGAAAACTCTATGAAACCCAGAAGTGCATGCTGTGAAAGCAAACGGCTGGGTTTAAATCAGTGTCCTTGCTGATGGTCTACGTACTTTAACAGTGAACCTGTTTAGCTACTCACTAGTGCAGCGTGAACAGCTCTCCCTGCAAAGATACATACTGAAATCATGGGATCATGGAATGGTTTGTGTTGGAAGGGAGCTTAAAGCTCATCCACTTCCAGTCCCCTGCCACATGCAAGGACACCTTCCACTAGAGCAGGCTGCTCAAAGAAATACCTCATTGCTCACTCCCACCTTTAGGACATGCTCCTGTATCACGAGCTGTATGGAGGCACCATAGCAGTTGGCATATGATGTGAGATAAAGGCAACTGCAAGAGGAAGACATGGGGAAACCAGACCACACTCAGCACCTAATGACAGAGAGTGACTTACTTAGGTCATTGTCCATCTTGAATGCAATGTCCAGCTGCATGATGAAGAGCATGAACTGGAACCAGGGGCTCATCTCCTTGCTGGGGAGGGGAATGTGCACAGCGAACACGATGTCGTTGGCTTCAATCTGCCTGCTCACCGCCTCGTCAAAGTCCTTGAGCTTCTCACAGTGGTTGGGTCCCCAGGGCATCAGCCACTTGGTTTTGTGGTGGTTCTTCCTTACATCAATGCACTTCACTGACATGTAAGGAACAGCTGTAGTGGGGCTGGGAGCTGTAAATGGAAGAGAACCACATTTTTAGCATCTTTAGAGATCTTAGTGGTTTCCCCACCAAAATAGGCAGCTCCCCCCCCTCAACTACTTGAAGGCAATTGAAAACAAATGCATCAAATGCTTCTCCTTCCCAGCTCCTTGGTCCTGCAGTTAAGTAATTAAGTTTATTACATCTACAGACGTACTCCTGACTTTGTAGTGGGATCAAATTAGGATTAGCTGAAGCAGCTGGAATCTGCTGGGTCAGTCTCAAGATACCTCAGCTACACCAAAATCATACTGGAAGTTACTGGCACCTTTTCCTGTGCAATACACCCTTCTGCTTTGCTCACTTGAACAAATCCACATGCAAAGTTTGTGCCTGCATCACAAACCCAGACAGATGAACTCTTCCTAAACCTCGTGGTCACCACAGAGCCACACTCCTTGGGCAGGAAGCCTTTTCTCACTGCTGAATCACACCATGCTTGTTTAAGAACCCCTGGTAAAGGGAGAGCAGCACCACTTTGCATCTAACCCAGCTCAGAGCCATCACCAGCATCTGCTGGCTGCAGATGTGCTGCGGGAGCCATCTCAGCCTCAACAAAGCACGGGATAAACGGGTCACCTCCATAGTGCTCCAAAAGCCCTTGCTCCCCCATTGCTGCTCACTGTAGAGACACACTGCATGAAGGTACTGCTTCCTTTGGCTGTAAGTCAGGTGTGAATTAACAACTGTTAGAGCCAGACATTTGTCTCTTTCCCTTTTAGACACAGGGTTTTGAGATACTGGGGGGAAAAGAAACTGAACAGAGGGCTTGGCTCCAAAATGCTCCCCAGACTCTGCCCTGTGACCATCACCAAGGACAAGGGACATGGCTTTGTGCCCATTTTCATCGTATTAGGATGATGTGCAACATCCCAGATCAGACAATGAAAACTAGTGAGTAAACTGCACAGGCTTTACAGCAATGAGGAAACAGTCCAAGTGTGAAGCACAAATAGGGATGAAAGCAGAAGAGAAATGCATCCCCCTCCAGCCAGATTTTCAGCATAACACCTCCAGATCTGAGAGAAAGAAAAGGCTTTCAAAACTCGAATACATTTCCAGTGTCATTCTGCCATGCAGAGACTTCTCCTGACAGTGCTGCTGCCCTGTTCTTCCAGTATCATTTGGGAAGTACACATTTTAATGCCACTTTAAGGCATCACGGAACCAGCAAACCATGAGGACAAGCAGAGCTGTCCTCATCTCCCCAGTGCACTCCGAGGGGCTTCTATGGATCAGAGTCCAGAAGCTGGTTTGGGGTTTCTTTCCCCACAACAGCCAGTTCAACACATTCTGATGTCCAATCCATTTCACTGCTGTTAAACCACAACTGTCCTGTTTTCTGAAGTGTCACCAGGAATGTACCATTGGACATGGTGTAAAGACCTCCAGCTCCACGGTTATGGGAAAGCAGATGGAGCAGGTTAACTCTCTTTTTAATCTGTCTAAAAGAGTTTTCTTGGTGTCTGTTTTCACTAGAATTTGAAGTTACACAATGCAAGACATGAAATGGAAATGAAACACTGAACTATCCAGCCCTTTCTAAAATAAGGCTTGAAACTCAAGAATCAAAGTGCAAATTTAACTTAATAATGTAAAAATGCTCCAATGCAAGTGGTAAGCATAGAAGTGTTCCTATACTATGGAATTAAAACAGAAGTAGCACATAAAATAACAGATATCCAAGTGTACAGAATAAGTGCAGCCTAAATCACAGAATCCCAGCCTGGTTTGGGTTGAAGGGACCTTAAAGCTCCTCCAGCTCCAACCCCTGCCACAGGCAGGGACCCCTTCCACTACAGCAGCTTGCTCCAAGCCCCTGTGTCCAACCTGGCCTTGAGCACTGCCAGGGATGGGGCAGCCACAGCTTCTCTGGGCACCCTGTGCCTCAGCACCCTTAATGTTGAAGTCTCCAGAGAAACACCACTGAGATGGCCACAGAGAACAGGGAAGGAGCTGGCCAGTCCATGGGCTATTCTCACGTTATCCTCATTCCAAGGGAGGGTTCAGGACTTCCTGTGCACGTCACAGCCCACCAAAAAGCTCCAGGAGCAAATCTAACACCCTACCTCCACAATTCCACCTGTTTCAATGAGTAAAACAAACCCTAACTGCAGAGCACCCACCAGCCACCCCCAGCCCCATCCAGGGCAGAGCCTCACAGGGCTGCCGAGCCCAGCACGCATCCGCACACACTACACCCGGATGATTCAGACCTGGCTCCCTTGTAATTTGGACGCAGCATCACAACAGCAGCTCTATTGCTGTTTGGGAGCCAAGCCAGGAACCCTGCGTAGCATCTTCCCTCGTGTGTCACCTCATTGAAGATGACATCCCTGCTGCTTCCTACGGGCAGGGGAGCGATGACTCAATGTGCGAGTCGGGAGGAAGTTATTCAAAAGCAGTTTATAAACAGCATTTTTTATATCTTTTTTTTTGACAGCAATAAGTTTCTTGTAGCTGCAAAGCAGCAGGATGCTGGCATCAAGGCTGGAAGGGATTTGCTTAAGCAGGAATAGTCCCAGGTTCATTCCTGCTCTGGTTATTAATCCATAGCTTAAGTGCAACACAGACTCACTGCTGCATCTCAAGCCCCACTGCATCCAGCAGCCCTCCAGGAACCACGGAAGCCTCATACGTGACAGCAGCCCCAAAGCAGAAATCATTGACGTGCCACAAAGAAACACCAAAATAGAATAAAATAAAGCATTCAACAAACAAACTCAAGCTGCAAGCCCAGGGTTACAGAACACTTGAATTAAGGACATGCATAAATCAGTGCGACATTCCTTTATCCTGCCTCAATGCAGAGCCCGGTTACCATGGCTAAAAGTGCAGCTGTGAGTGAGTATTAGGAATATTGTGGTGAAATAAGCCAGGCATTCAGAGCTTTTTAACTCAGAGACCTTTGTGTGATTGAAAGTAGGCATTTCTGAATTCAGAGACATCGAGTTACTTCTACAGGGAAAATGAACATCTCTTGCTTTGATGCGACTCATTATAGCCATAAATACATGTTTTCATCGCGGACTGATTTTAAGTACTTGGCATCCCCCCTCAAGTATCCCCTCTGCCAAAGTTACAGCTTGGAGGAACAAGAGACAATTACTCCATCTATTCCTCGTCGGGAACTGCACACCAAAGGAACGTCGGCACTTGGCTTCCATTACTTCTTTGGCTCCAGTCCCATTAAATTCAAGTGAGTGTTGAACCAAGTGGAAAAAACTGCTTTGGGAAACTGCAGCCAAGTCAACTAACAGCATTACAAAGTGCTATGGCAAACAAAGCCAGCACCGAGGGACCTCAGTGAGCACGTGGTGCCGGGCAGGCTGCTTTCAGCCAGTCTGCCTGTGGGGCTGGGAGATGCCTCAGCTTTCTATATTAAATGATATCTGTCAGCCTGTAAATAATTCAATAGCCATTTGTGCATAATCCAGTGGAGAAGTCCCAGCCCACGTTCCAGCCTGCTCGCTGCGATGGGAAGCGCTGCAGTGATGCAGGTAGCACTTGGAGGGGTTCAGAGCTTTGGTCAGGAAGGTTTGGCAGAAGCCCATTGGGAACGTGGCCCCAAGAGCCCCCAGGAAGCATCCCCAGCAACCCCTTACACCAAGGGGTTCATCCCCTGTGGTGTTGGACACCAGAAGCCATAGGCTTGAGGCTGCCGGAGATACAAACACTGTCCAAGGATGCTTCCAGCCTCCCTGTGCTTAAGGGACAAACTTCCCACAGAGCAGTTCAGAGGCAGGATGATTCACAGCAAACACTTTCAGAGCAGCAGCAGGATCTCCAAGGAGCCATGTGCCCGTGCCAGAGGGAAGCAGGCAGGAGGGGTCGGGCACCACCAGAGCTCCCGTCAGCTCCGATGGGACAAACCTGCATTAAATCTTCCTTAAAACTCCAGGCAGGCACAGAGAGGAAAACAAAACCACTGGAGCCTGAGCAGCCTCTTTCGCAGCTCACTGGCTTTCATTCCAGTCTGGAGAGTGAATTCAGTTTAACCTCTTTGAAGTTTGTTTGCATACACGATATAAACACATTTATCTTTAAAGCTCTGCAGTTAAAGCCATTCCCCTTGGCCTGTCCCTACATCCCTTGTCCCAAGCCCCTCTCCAGCTTTCCTGCAGCCCCTTCAGGCACTGGAGCTGCTCTCAGGTCTCCCCTTCAGGAGCCTTCTCTTCTCCAGGCTGCCCCAGCCCAGCTCTCTCAGCCTGGCTCCAGAGCAGAGCTGCTCCAGCCCTCGCAGCATCTCCATGGCCTCCTCTGGACTCACTCCAGCAGCTCCGCAAGCACAGGGGGTCCCAGCAGATGCTGCTGTTCCCTACCAAGGAAACACAGCTCCTTGCAATGGTTCTAGGCAGTGAGCCCTGGAGAACCAGGTGCTTTCAGCAGCATGGCCACCACTTCCCATGGACCCCCAAGGCAATTTCAGCTGGGTTTCACAGAAGACTCACTGGAGGTTACATGCAAGAGTTGCTTCAGTCTCTCTCTTTTCATCTTCAAAGTGCCATAGAGCCAATGGTACGCTGGCTCAAGCATACGGATTTTCATAGAATCATAGAATGTTTTGGGTTAGAAAGGGGCTTAAGATCATATTTCTGATCCCCAAGAAACAGCAGCAGTTGGGAGATGTTTCCAGAGGGGGTGGGTGACCAAAATTCAATTGCTTTTGTTTTTCAGTGATCCAAAGCTACTCAGTCCTGTGTTGAGCTGTTTGCAGTGTTTTACCCGAAGAGAACAGTGTCATAGAATGACTCCGAGTAAGAGGATCTGCAGGAGACATCTCAGCATACTTTATATGTGTATCTCCATACTTTATATCTCCATACTGACTGGAGAGGTCAACGATCTTCAGACCTACTGCAGCAAAAGATGCCCCAATTTGGTTTCTCAGCACTGGTGACCATCCTCATTGCCAAGAGAGAGGATTGCCCTCCTGCGTCTCAACTGGAAAAGAAATTCTTCTGCTTCACG